GTAGTAGCTTCGGTTCGTAAGGTGGTAGTAGCGTTGGTTTGGTAGCGTTAGCGTTGGTACGTAGGTAGGTTAGCTTTTTGGTTCGCTTAGATAGGTCAGGTTTCGTTTGTAGGTACAGGTTAGGTTGGCTTTCGTAGGGCTACGGTAGGATTGTTGGGTTGGTTCGCTAGGCAGGCTAGTTGGTTGTGGTCTCGTAGGTTAGCGTTGGTTCTGTTCGTAGGGCAGCTAGGTTTGGTTGGTTCCGGTAGTAGTAGGTGGTTGGTTTGGTAGGTGGTCGTAGGTAGGTAGGGTTGGTTCGTTAGGTTAGGGGTTGGTTTTGCGTTTGCTGGGGCAGTTAGGTTGTTCCATAGGTAGGTTGGTTGGTTCGTAGGTAGGTAGGTTGGTTCGTTTGTTGGTAGATACGTTTGTTGGATGGATGAATAATGGATGAAATGATGAACTGACTGTCTCCTCTCTCAGGTCAGTCTGTCCCGGGTCGGCAGCGCGTCTGTTTTGGGTCTCAGGAAGCAGAATGAGGACCGCCTCCGTATCGCCCGTATCCACGACAACCTGCTTTACTTCGCCGTGTTCGACGGCCACGGCGGCCCGCACGCCGCCGACTACTGCTACACCTTTATGGAGAAATTTATCAGGTTGAAACCTCTGAATATTCCAGCGGTTCTTATTGGAATATTAATGTAAGTGATTTACATTGATACGATTATTGATTGTTTGTGCAGAGACGCTCTGGAGGAGGAAGATGATCTGGAGAAAGTTTTAAAGAAAGCTTTTTTAGATGCTGATAAGGCTCTACACACACACCTCAGCTACTTCAACAACGGTGAGACAGAGAAGTAATATATTAACTACAATAAAAGTACATACTGTATTTACTGCAGGCTGCTGGAAAGTATTATAAAGTAAAGTAGTAAATAAGTATCCATCCCTCTCATCCTCCTTCAGCCTCCTTCCTGACAGCTGGCACCACGGCGACGGTTGCTATGCTGCGTGACGGCGTGGAGCTGGTGGTCGGTAGCGTTGGTGACAGTCGGGCGATGCTGTGCAAGAAGGGACGAGCCACCAAACTCACCAAAGATCACACACCTGACCGCAAGGACGAGAGACACAGGTACACACTGATCCCCTTTATACCACTGTTAACAGAACTATCACTACTATGATCAATATTACCTTTACTACAGCTACTACTGCATACAGGTGCCTGTGCAGTGTTTAATAGAGACATTACATTTAGAATTATATGAATAAATACAAACAAAATACATAATATAACCATTATAAATTATAAAATTGTTGAAAAACAAATTAAAAATGCAATACTTTTAAGGTTTATTGGATTTTTTTCTCACAATTTCATGCTTATAAATTATATTTTGCATGTATTTATTAATATTTTACCACTTTTATAGTTACTACTAATGGTATCATTACTATAGCATATACTATTTTAGAATCACAACCTTACTGCAAGGTTATTATAGTTAACTAAAACTAAATTATAAACTAGGCCCGAGATGACGTCCTCAAATGTCTTGTTTTGTCCACAACCTGAAGATAATTCAGTTTACTGTCACAGACAACTAAAGAAACTAGATACATTCTTAGACAGATAGATAGATAGATACATATACTTTATTGATCCCAAGCTGGGAAATTGCTTATTTTAGAAGCTGAAATCAGAGAATTTGGACATTTGTTCAATAAAGAAATGACTCAAAACAATTATTCGATTGCCAAAATAGTTGCTGTTTTTTGCACTTGTTAAAGAAAAATAAGATTTCAAAGACTTTATTAGATTCAGGAAAAGGTCCGACATCAGGGACTTTACATGACGGCAGCTGTGGTGCATTCATGTGATGTTGTCATTGTTGCTACCAGGAAGACAAACAGCAGCAGGGAGGACAGATAGAGCATTGTTCTTTGTTTAAGACACCGCAGACTGAAGTGTTGTTTCACACGGGATTAATATAACTACTGAGATTTATCCTTCCTCTTCTGATCAAATATACTTCAGTCGTATACAGAGTGAGCAGAGCAGCAGGGTTCAGGTTTCCCTGCAGCCAATCAGGTTGTAAATAGACTCTACGGTATGTTGGCAGCGAGTCGGTGCCTTGCTCGTGGACTCTCCTGCACACACGAGGTCCGGGTTCATCAAAACTGTTTAGTTGACAGGTTTGGGATTCCCTTCAGCTCAAAGCAGCTGTTATGTAAGAGCAGAGCGAGGCTATGTTTAACTCTGGAGAAACATTTTAACGCCTCAGTGTCCAGTTTCTGACCTACAGACACATAACTTAAACGCCACTCATTTGTCTTAAAGTTGCAATAAAGAGGATTTAAATTAATTAAAAGGGTCTTTTTTTGTATCTGTGTTCAGGATCCAGAGGTTCGGCGGCTTCGTGACGTGGAACAGCGTCGGTCAGGCTAACGTTAACGGGCGGCTCGCCATGACTCGCAGCATCGGCGACTTCCACCTGAAAACCAGCGGCGTCATCGCTGAGCCGGACACACAGCGAGTCAATGTGAGTCCCGCTGCAGCTTCATCCGACCTTTGACCTTTACTCTAGTTGATTACAGGTTTTACACTTGGATTATTGAAGTTAATTTGGACTTATCAGACTCTGTATTGTAACTAAGAAGCACTTTTTTGTGTAGTATCATGTAGGGAAGCGGATGAAGAAGGCACTCGGGAGCTTAAAAATCACAATCAGAATCAGCATTTATTATGTTCTGTTAAAACCTGTTCACACATTGGCTATTAAAAGATAAAAATAATACATGTTGAGGTTAAATAAGGGAGATCCTGACCGCTTTGTCTCTGCAGGTCCAGCACGCCAACGACTCCTTCCTGGCTCTGACCACCGACGGCATCAACTTCCTTCTGAGTGACCAGGAGATCTGCGACGTCATCAACCAGTGCCCGGACCCCACAGAGGCTGCTGACGTCATCGCACAGCAGGTACCCGGCGCTCTCTCTTTCGCTCTTACCGCCATCCTCTCTCCAAGTTAACGGCAAATATCACGTGTTTTGTGTTTTTTAAAGGCGATGCAGTACGGCTCGGAAGACAACGCCACCATCATCATCGTCCCTTTAGGAGCCTGGGGGAAACACCAGAGCTCCAACGCCGTCTACAGCATGAGCAGGAACTTCACCTCAAGCGGGAGATGGGCGTAGACACACACACACACACCACACAAAAACATCACAGAGCTCTATAACAGTCGACAAAATGAGTGTGACTTGAAGGAAACACATTTTTTTAACTGTGAACCACCCTGAATTCACCTGACCCTCAGGTTGTGACCCAAAGTAGTGCCGGCTTTAGCTTTCCCAGTTGATAGTCAACAGTGTACATAGAGTGTATATTAATATATTGTACATACAGAGAGATTTGCTTTAAGTGTCTAGTTTGTTAATCTGCATGCTTCTTTTGTGTTTAGACAAAACATTTAACATCCCTCTCCATCCAAATTGTCGACTTGTCAGGAAGTAAGAAGTGCGGTTTTGTCTCAGTTTGAGCTCAGTATGGATTTGAGTTTTTCCCGAGGGCTTAAAAGGAGTTCACACTGCAGGCACGAGTCGCACAAATCAGATTTTTTTTTTGTGACTCAGATCTTTTTTTTAATAACAGTGTGAACAGAACAAATCACACTGAATCTGGTTTTTTTTTCATTCTGATTCAGGACACTTTGGTATGTGGTTAAAATCAGATTTTTTGCAATACGACCTCAGTGTGTACAGAATTCATTTACTATTTACGTTTACAATATTCTTTAGGTGGACTGGGGCATTTCCAGAGGGGGGGCAATGGACACCCCTAAAATTTGATTGGCACCCCATTAACCTTACCACTTCCACTTTAAGATGCTGTAGCAGACTCCGTTTTATACCTAGAGTGAAAATACTGTATCATATGAACTAAATGACACATCCCATGATAGCCATGTCAGGTTATCATGTGGGGAAATGAATCCAAACTGAGACGAAAAATGAAAGACGTGAAATAATTGATTAAAATACCTATTTTGATGCTTTGAGGCATCAGAGTCTGCTAGCTCAGTTTTTGGACCTCATTAGTTCAACAGTATTAGGGGTTAGGATTGTGAAATCTGATTTTGGCCACATTTATATGACGGATGTGGCTCAAGAGGTAGAGCGGGTCGTTTTTTGATCCGAAGGTTGCCGGTTGGATACCCGACTCCTGCCACTGCATGCCGAAGTGTCCTTGAGCAAGATACTGAACCCCAAATTGTTTCCGATTCATCGGTGTATGAATGGGTGAATGTGACATGTAGTGTAAAAGCTCTTTGAGTGGTTGGAAGACTAGAAAAGGAGCTTTACAAGTACAGTCCATTTAAAAAATAATGTAAACAAACAAAACAAATCTGATCTGAACAATAAATCAGAGTTGAGCAGTAAGGCTTGCAGTGTGAACCCTGCCACAGAGAACAAACAAATTATGTTTAATTATGTTTACTTTGTTACCTGCCAGGTTAGCTAAATCATAACACATAAGAAAGTGATATAAAGATTACATTGAATTTTCCACTGGTATTCACCACTTTATTTGAGTGCAAGTTTGAGGAGGAAAGTCTGAAGTAACCGAGGGAAACATCATCAATAACAAACACCACATAAAGAAATAAGACAAAGTGAAACCTGATTATAACTGCACCTTCTTATTGATCTGTCTGTTTTTCTGGAGTTTTATTCCCTGGATATACTTTGTTTTCCCATCCGTTACGCATCTGTCACCCCAACTAAATGAAATATATTCTGATTCATATGATTGTTTTATTTAAATAATGAATGAAATTAATATGTGTTAACGTACGTTGCAATATTTTTGTGTGGCCCGAGCAGTAACACTGTGAGGACCCCATTGAAACTGAAGGAATTATTATTTCCTGCAATGTATTTTCTGGTGTTCTATTTTACTAAACTCCTCCGAGAAAATTTATCAGATCAACTTAAATGGTCCAAAGAACAGTCTGAAGACGTACGCGTAGCGCTTGAATTTTGATTTGCAAGCTCTAATTGTTGTTTTACAATTTTCTTATTGTTTGTCCGTTGTTAAGTTCAGAGTGCATCTTCCTCCTTTGTAGCTAGCTAACAGCAGGACTCTGTCACAACTCAGGAAACTCAGGATTGTATTCAAACTAAAGTCAGAAAACCCAATAATGTATCCAGTGACAAGACCGAATGAACTGACACAGAACCAAGAAAACAAAGACTTAATACACAAAATAAACAAAGACAGGAAGTAAATCAAAACAAATTTGAAAATAAAACAGGAAATAATCAAAGAAAACCCAAAACCTCACTGATTACTATACATAAACACAACTTTATCAGTGATTTTTGTGAAACTGGATCATATTTTATGGAGAGAATATTGTCCGGTTTCCCCTCCGACTGCTCTGCTCCAACTCCACTAACTGCTAATGTAGCTGTGGTTAGCGTTAGCAACCAAACAGGGCTCAGCAGCCTCCCAGTGAACACAACCTCTGAGATAGACAGAGGACAGTTTGATGACAGCGGTACCATCATTTCATCAGAAGTTGTCATAACTTAAAAGTTGAGTTAAATTTTTTTGTTGAGCCAAAACAGTTGTTTGAGTGTATATGTGATGTGTTTTTGAATAAAAGTAAATATTTACAATAGTTGTTGTGGTTGTTAATTTAATGATTAATTAGAATTTCAATTTTTTTTTTATTGTTTTAGCAAAGTTTGTTTATTTTTAAATATTTTTATTGTCGGAATGTTGTGTTTTTTTCATTCCTTTAATCTTTCGCTGCGATGTCATCGGTGTAATGATGTCATTCAAAGATCAAAGCTAATAGAATGTTGCTTTGATACAAAGGC